TTATAAAAAAATGCTAAAAAAAATTCCTTATAAAATATAAGGAAATGTGATACAGAATTTTAAAAAACATATACAAACTTATTTATAATAATGAAAAAATGTATGCAAATTTTTATAGGGTTTCAATAAAAAGAAATGACTTTTCAAAACTCTTTTAAAGCCAAAAAGGTTCCTTTCATTGAAATGAAACGACTTTTTAGAATTCTTTTAGAGTCAAAAATTTATTTTTTCAATAATATTTTTGGATTCAAATTGGATCAGATTTAGACTTAAACTGATCCGTTAGATCCAGATTTGAGATTTGATCCATCAGATTTAGATTAGATCTGAATTTTAATGGATCTGTCAGATTCAGATCAGATTCAGATCCTAAAAAATAAAATCAGATCAGATTGGATTTAGATAAAATCTGATCTGATCTGATTTTGTGAAACAATAGTATAAGTAGTGTTACTTTAAGTAATGATAAGAGATTACTTATAAAATAGGATCTTACAGAAAAAATCACAAATGAACTTCGTAATAATATATATAATGATACCCTATGGTCTAAACAGATTTTATATCATTAATTATTCGAATAGATCTTCAATCTATAGGATTCCAACAATCAGATAGTCTTTAATACTATTTTTTATAATACAAGCTTTCTATGCAATTAATAGAACAGTTATGATAGAAAAGGTGTATCACAAATGTTTACCTCATCATATAATGATATCGCTACTGAAATAGATGATATTTTAAATAATAATATGAAAGTTATCAATACCAATTCAACAAATGCTATACAAAGTGCTTTCTTTCATGTAATATATTATCAAAGTGCTTATGCAATTAGCAAGAATAGAATCAAGCTTGCATATGGTAAATACAGTCTTGATTTTGGATGTTTATTTAGCTATTACTTAAATCCAGTATTGTCATGAAATATTGATAGGATACTAATGGGATATAGATAGAACAAATAGAACATTTAAAACATAGTATAGGACAGGTTGAAATATATAGCTGGGATATAAGCTGAGACAACAAATCTCTGGAATATCAAAAATGTACATCACTGTTTAAACCTATCGATTGAACATATAATTAATTGGATTAAGAATTATAAGGGATTTAATGGAATTGTTGTGTATTAGGTCAATACTGATAGAATCAAAAGCATGAATTATCAGGATCTAGTTTCTGAAAGTAATGATCTATAGAAGAAGATGATGATTGCTTCGAGATATATTTAGAGTTAAAAGTAGATAAAGATGATTTTGTCTATAGTGCAAACAGCTTAGTCACATCAAATGGCTAAGCCACCGCTAAAATTTATGTCGATCATTTCTATATTTAATTCACGATTTCATTGGTCGAAACCATTCACGTGATAATTTTTCAGTCACGTGATCATTTTTGATCACGTGAAAGTTATTAATATCATGACATTTCGCGTTATTTTACGATAATTTTTTTTTTAACTTTTTTATTCTAGTTTAGCAAGATTATAATGCCAAAAGTAAATAAACGCATCAGACAGTCTCGAGAAGCCATTAAGAAGCGTTGGAAGCAAGCAAAAGCTTCTGAAGAGGCAATAATTGAATTATCAGATGCTGAATCCGATAAGTTTGATGAACCATTATTTGATATATTTTGGATGGAAGGTGAGGAAACATACTTTGATGGTGATGGTTGTGTTACTGCTGTTGTTGGTGTTGTTGTTGTTGTTGGTGTTGCTGTTAATTCTAAGATTCTTTCTTCTAAATTCTTAACATAAAACTAAAGTTTTTTAAATTCTTCAAAACGTCCAAGTCGACAACTCCATTAATATCATTAGGTACTGGTGAAATAAGATCTGCTTCACTTCTTATACAATTATTTATTGACGCTGATTTATAATTTT